GACATTGACTTAAATTCGTTTTGGAAGACGTACATGTATTTTCCGTTTTTTTTTTCTTTTTTTTAGGAAAAAATGTGCGTCTTGTAAGCCGGAAAATACGGTAGCCAGGTATTTTGAAAAAAAAGTATTTGAGGATTTAATAGGTTACCGTTCTAGCAACTCCAAGTCTCCAACTGTATGGTGTCATTTTTTTTTCTGTCACAACAAATTATCACATTCTGAACTTTTTATTACATATTTGTGGTTATAATTAATTAGATTTTCAATAGCTTAACCCAGTGTTATACCGATTGAGATCAGAAAGAATTTGTGTCCATTCATGGAAGGGTATCCTCTGCTGAATTAACATGCTGACATGACTCTTGACGTCGTCTGCTTCGATGCCTGCAGATAGCATCTGTTAGGCAACGTCACCATAAAAAAAAAACATGGCGGATAATAGGAATTGATAGTATATTTGGAGACCTATTGAGTTAACTGGTTTTGTTTATTGTGCATTATTACTGCATTTTGTGTACTATTGTACACAAAATGCAGTAATAATGCTGCTATTCTTGGTGTATATATGAAACGTAACTATCGGTCTGTACTACATGACTAGGGTGGGTTTTGTGAAAACACCGTACGATGAACGAAAGACTTATGAACCGGTAAGAAGCAGCCTATCATCAATATACGAACGGTATATACAGTAGTTATTACATATGAATAATAATGGGCACCTCGAGGAGGGGTAATGGTTAGCAAGCTTGTCTCGCAAGAACAATTACGACTGAATAGTGAGTTCGATCCTCACTGGGTGCCCCATACTTTCGGCCTTGTGTCGCATTTAAGCTACGCTTGGAAAATCACTATATAAATAATAATTATACACTTATATGTCTGGTATTCGTGACTGGGGTTCGTGAGTGTTGGCAAACTTCTCGCTGCAACTTAACTTTTCAGTGCTAAGACGCAGGGTAATTTTTCAGAGGAAAAATGCATCTTAGCACACGGGGAATACGGTAAATGTTAAATTTCTTTGAGAAAATGGCTTTTTTTTTTTTCTTCCTTTTCGATAATTTAGATATTCAATTGTCCGGTAGTTTGAATTGTCCGAACATATTTTTCCAACCCCTGTCTAAAGTTATCCGAATAATCGAGCAAATACTGTTATATAAAAGTCACTATTGATTCTATTATATTTATTCGTCTCTCTTCAAGTAAAGCAGGATATATATTTTTAATGATGGTACGGATGGTAATGGCTTCATGGTTGTAATGGTGCCAATGGTAAGGTGTTGGTCTTTGTGACGGAATCGCAGAAAAATGTTATCTGCAGACGTGAAGGTTTTGACACTGGCGGACGATAAATAAATCGTTATCATACTTTTTCTTTCTTTCCTTCCTTCGTTTCTTTCCTTCCTTCCTTCGTTTCTTTCCTTCCTTCCTTCGTTTCTTTCCTTCCTTCCTTCGTTTCTTTCTTTCCTTCCTTCGTTTCTTTCTTTCTTTCCTTCCTTCGTTTCTTTCTTTCTTTCCTTCCTTCGTTTCTTTCTTTCTTTCCTTCCTTCGTTTCTTTCTTTCTTTCCTTCCTTCCTTCCTTCGTTTCTTTCTTTCCTTCCTTCGTTTCTTTCTTTCCTTTCTTCGTTTCTTTCTTTCCTTTCTTCGTTTCTTTCTTTCCTTTTCTTTCGTTTCTTTCTTTCCTTTCTTTTTCTTTCTTTTCCTTTCTTCGTTTCTTTCTTTCTTCATTTCTTTCCTTCCTTCGTTTCTTTCCTTCCTTCCTTCCTTCGTTTCTTTTCTTTCCTTCGTTTCTTTCTTTCCTTCGTTTCGTTTCTTTCCTTTCTTCCTTTCTTTCTTTCTTCCTTTCTTTCTTTCTTCCTTTCTTTCTTTCTTCCTTTCTTTCTTTCTTTCCTTCCTTCTTTCTTTCCTTCCTTCGTTTCTTTCTTTCTTTCCTTCCTTCCTTCGTTTCTTTCTTTCTTTCCTTTCTTTCCTTCCTTCCTTCGTTTCTTTCTTTCTTTCCTTCCTTCGTTTCTTTCCTTCCTTCGTTTTTCTTTCCTTCCTTTTTTTTTTCCTTCCTTCCTTCTTTCTTTCCTTCCTTCCTTCGTTTCTTTCTTTCCTTCCTTCGTTTCTTTCTTTCTTTCCTTCCTTCGTTTCTTTTCTTTCTTTCTTTCCTTCCCTTTCTTTCTTTCTTTTCTTCTTCTTTCTTTCTTTCTTCCTTCCTTTCCGTTTCTTTCTTTCCTTTTTCTTTCTTTCTTTCCTTTCTTCGTTTCTTTCTTTCCTTTCTTCGTTTCTTTCTTTCCTTTCTTCGTTTCTTTCTTTCCTTTCTTCGTTTCTTTCTTTCCTTTCTTCGTTTCTTTCTTTCCTTTCTTCGTTTCTTTCCTTCCTTCGTTTCTTTCCTTCCTTCGTTTCTTTCCTTCCTTCGTTTCTTTCTTTCCTTCGTTTCTTTCTTTCCTTCGTTTCTTTCTTTCCTTCGTTTCTTTCTTTCTTTCTTCCTTTCTTTCTTTCTTCCTTTCTTTCTTTCTTCCTTTCTTTCTTTCTTCCTTTCTTTCTTTTTTTTTTTTTTTCCTTTCTTTATTTGATTCTCTTTTTGCTTCCCTTTTACATTTTCCTTCCTTCTTTCATTTCCTTCCTTCGTTTCTTTCTTTCTTTCCTTCTTTTTTTTCTTTCTTTCCTTTTTTCCTTCCATTTTTTTCCTTTCTTTTTCCTTTTTTTTTTTTTTATTTCCTTCCTTCGTTTCTTTCTTTTTTTTTTCTTTTTTATTGTATTTCGATTCTCTTTTTGCTCCTTTACATTTTTCTTTTCATTTCCTTACTACTTGTCTTCGTTTTTTCCGCTTCTCATTTTTCCTTCATTTTTTTCCTTTAATTTCCCTTTTTTTTTCTATTTACTTTTTCTTCTTTTTGTTTTTTTTTTTTTACTTTTTTTTTCCTTCCTTGAAGTTTTTTTCCTTTTCTCATTTCTTCCTTTTAATTTTCTTTAATTTTTTTTTTTTACCTTTTCAGTTCCTATTGTATTTTTCTTCTCATCTTTCTTTTTTATCCGTCTTTTTATATTTTTTTTTCCGTTTCTTTCTTTCTTTCCTTTTTTGTTTTCTTTTCTCTTTTTTAATGTTTTTGTTTCTGTCCGCCTTTTCCTTTTCTTCCATTCCTTTTTCCCCTCTCTCGCTCTCTTTCTCTCTCGCTCTCTTTCTTTCTAGCTCTCTTTCTCTCTCGCTCGACATCTTCTTCCTCTTCCCCTCTCTTTTCAACTTTTCTTTCTATTTATTCGAAAGTCATTTAACACAAAACTAGATAAAAATAAACTCCCCGACTCTCACCAAATGCAAGAAATTTAAAGAATTTCTTCTTACTTAAAGATCTTGCACATTTTAAACAGTTTTTTTTTTTTTGTTTTTTTGCCATTTTTTTTTCATTTGAGTTTACTTATTTCTGCATTGTTTTTGTCATCTTCATATCTTTTAATTATTTCTATTTTCTAAAGATTAAATCCAAAGAGAAGAGTGTTGCCTCCTCGGATTCACATTTTGTCAGAAAACAGTATTTCTTCAGTTCAACTATCGGTAAATCATATGATTTGCATTTCAGATTTATTAAAAATATCGACAATATTCTAATCGTGTCCGAGGGGTTAGAGCGTTACAATTCCGACCATGCGACCCGGGATCGAATCTCAACATCGCCGATTTGTCAGGAAACTGGCGTCTTGATAATATCAACCTGTGGGAAACGTGTAGGACGGTTGGAGTGTGCCTTGAGAGGGAAATTGAGTTAGCGAAACTGTTTGGAAGTTAGTTGTGCTAGCATAATAGCTTACAAGTCATCGTGGCCGAGCTTGTTAGCGTATTGGCCTTGTTTAAACTGGTGATCACACCAGACTATACGCTATCCATCCACCCAGAAACTTTAACTGAGGTCCGTTCATCAGAGTCGCGGTATAAATCACAGGTTATCTTTGTGTATGTCGAAGGGAAACAAATGTGCCTGAACAGGCGTCTGCAACAGGGATTAGCTAACCTCGGGCATTCTTGGAAACGAGTGTCAGGCAATAAAACACAATCCGACTAAAATATTTTGATATTCTCGAATCTTGATGGCTTGTAAAATGTACACATTTCTAGGAAACAATGATTTTTTTTCTGCTAGTATTTTCATTGTCGTTTTATAAAAATTTTAACCGGTTGATTATCCAGGTCTACGGTAAGAATGAATTTAACGTTTATTACAGTCTATTTTGACAATTGTTCTATTTTATTATTGGTTATTGTTGTTAATCTCTTCTCGTGGCTAATAAGATTTCCGGTAAGTAGGAGTCTTCAATCCGTTGCATAACTTTTATTACAGTATATTGTTAGAATTAATCTATTATATTATTAGGCATTGTTCTTAGGCGAACGTGTCTACGGTACTATCATCCGGTTCTGACCCTCCCTGTCTTTTGAACAGAATTAGAATCTAAAGTTTGTTGTTCCATTCTCTTTCACTCCCAGTAAGTCCCTTGCATCTCAGTGGCATTATCGCCTTGCTTGGTGTGTAAAAACAATGACAGACGATCCTGGTAGAAAAGAGCAAAACAACTAGCAGACAGAATAACATTGTTTAATTATCATGCGACTCCTTCGTTCAAACAAATTAAATTCTAGACTAACCCTAAAAATTCGAAAATTCTAGACTAATCCTAACCTCCTCTTCAAATTTTTCAATCCCGTTGCTTCCTAAAAGCAGGCACTCGAAGCTGTTAGGCATAAATTTAAAATTGAATATGTTTGCTGGGTTGTTTATTTAGCGGCATATCAACACCTGTATGGGTTATTTAATACCGAAATCTACATATTTTGTATGCAGTTCTATACTTCCTTAGTAGATGATAATGTTTTTAGTTTTACTAATTAACCCATAGCTGGGGAAGAAGATGTGGATTATTTCCGCGTAAGTTAATATAACGAACTTGACCGAAATTGGAACTCGGATCTCCGATTAATAATTCTCAGCCACTGACTATTACTCCACTCGCACATCGAAGCTTATAGCACCAGGTATTCTCAATCGGTCACCCATCTAGGTACTGGCTATGTTCGACGTTGCTTAACTTCGGTGATTGTACGGGAACTGGTGTTTCAACTTGATGTGGCCATAAGCTTACATAGCATTCTTCCATTCAAATAAACTAATTTCCACAGTAATCTTGCCATTTCTCAGATTTTTCCTGCGTCCCCGCTTATTTCAACCTCTACATTTATTCGAAACATTTACATTTGTCCGTCGTCACCGAAGACCTTGATAATTCAGCTCTTTGAAATGTGCAACTTGGAAACCGCAATCGCAAAATGTCACCGGGTCTTTTCGGTGATGTTACGACGCAGCTGTGTTGTTTTTTCTTTTCTTTTATTTATTTATTGGCATTTCTATTTTAAGATGAAAAAATAATCCGCTAAAGATGCTGTTAAAATGTTCACTGGCATCGTTTCATTTAAGAACATGGACACATTGATCAAAAGAAAGTTATCATTGACAGAAATGAAATTTCTTATTTACCCTTTTAACAATATCTTAGACAAACATTGGGCACCTCGACGTGCTTGTAGTGGTTAGAAAGTTTGTCTTGCTACGATCAATTACGACTGAGTAGTGAGTTCGATCCTCACTGGGTGCCCCTTACTTTCGGCTTTGTGCCACATCTAAGCTATGCTTGGAAAATCGCTTAGACAAACGTTAATGGAAAACAGGCTTTGGTTTAGTAAACGTAATTTCCAATAGACGATCTGTAAGCATTTTAACTCGATCTCTTTTATAAAATCTACAAATCAAGTTTTAGTATTAAGTAAATAGTCTGCTATTGTTATTTCCGAAAAGAAAACAACTTCCTATCATTTGCAGGTTTCAAAGGTTTGTTTACACCTACCCCTCCGCCGTTTCTTGTCCTGCCATCCATTTACACAAGTTTGTTGGGTATGTCAAGTGCTAGTTCCCTGTGTTCTTCTGGCCTGCAATATGCCTTATGAGTGTCAAATTATCCAAACACTCTTTCCTCATTATGTGTCTTGGAATGTTCAACTGTTTCTTTCTTTAAGTATAAACATCCTTTTGGCAAACTTGTTCAGTTCACGGGATTCTCAGTATCCTTCTGTAGAGCCAGATTTCTGTTGGCACCAGTTTTTTCTTCATCTGTGGTTAGATTGACCAACATTCACTGCCGTATAGAAGAACTGATATTAGGTAACAGTTCAGCATTCTCTTCTTTGTCTCTAACGAAATTTTCCTTTTTCTTAATACCTTGCTTAGCTTTTGGAAGGCATCTCTCACTATTCAAATGTGCCTTAGGATCTCGATGTCACATTTTCTGTCGTCTATTAAAACAATTGATTTGTTTTTGGCATCTCCAATTCGTGCTTCTCACATTGGGTTGTTCCTCTTGCTAACAACCATATATCCTCAGTTCTTATGATTGATAGTTAGTCCTTTCTTCTGACCTTTCTTTACTACCTCCTCTAGCAGTTCCTGCAGTCTCCTTTTTGTGTCTGTTATTAACACTGTTTCATCTGCATCAGGCATGACCCATATGCGTCTTCGTATTAGCAGGGGTACATCCTCTATCATGACCTGACGATTGCGTTTAGCACGAAACAGACTGTCACCTCTGGATGTTGATTTTAATATCCACTTTGATATTTACATATGCACTATCCCTGATATTGAGCACTCAATATCGGGGATAGGCGTATACAGTATACATATACAACATACCATAAAACTATATTTTATATATTGAGGAAACATGGCACAGTGGATAAAGGCGTTGGTTAGATCCAGTGACAGGACCCAAAGAGTGCGAGTTTAATACCCGGTTAAGGCAGTGGAGAACTTGGAGAGGTGAATTAACGGGAGATAACTGATAACTGACATCCATTAAACATGGCACAAGTGAGTCATTCTTAAATGGATTTGTCAGTCCAGTGAGCGAAATAAAGGGCTCAGTTCGACATTCCAACCACCTGAAGAAGGTCCGAGCGTACAACGGCCGAAACGTAATAAATACGGCAACAAAGACGAGGACAATAGTCTACATAATACCTCATCTCAGAAATATAGGCAGATACTAAAAATGCCACTTTTTTTTCTTCTTTTTTTTTTTTTTTGGTTCAAATCATACAATATCTGCAAATGAAAGCACTACATTGTGTGCGTATGAAACAGCGTAAGGATCTGTATGCGTGCTACGGCTCTCTTTACAGGCAATTTACTAAACTCTCATATTTAGTGAACGTACATATTTCGCGTTGCGATTGTATTTACGAATGGCTGCGAAACATGAACCAAAAAGATTTTGAAATGTTAACAGTAGCGTCAGCAAAACGATAAATTACTACTGTGAAATTTATACATCCGAAAACGATGTTTCAACTTTATTCTAAAGCGTATTTTGAGGAGGTTGTGGGGGGAAAAAACCCAAAAAAAAACAGCGGTTCAGCATGAAATGTAATGAAATAATGTTTTCATAATTGTGTAACATTGTCTTGGTAACACAAATACAGATTAATATAATGCGGTTCTTTCGGGTGGAGATCAGTTTATTACTTACCAAAAGCATATAACTGATCCCCCACTTTATGTCCAACAGAATCTTATATTAACACTAGTTTAAGCATGCCAGCAAAAATGTAAGCATATCTTGTTCAGTCTATTATTACAAGTTTTTCACATGTGAGTCTTTTCTATTACAATATTAAGATATAGAAAAACTGGGGGATCAGTTTGTTACTTATTAACAACATAAAACTGATCATTAGCATTCACATCTTATCAACGTGTAGAAAGAGAGATCTAATTTGAATCCAAGTGTAACATTAAAATGCTGCAAAATTAAGTCATTCTTAAATGGGTTTTGTCAGTTCTTGATTCTCATCTGAATGTCATGCATGGTATTCAACTCATTCATAAATGTCCAAACTATCATCTGTATGCAACCATTTTCTCAGATCAACAATTAAAAATAACTTCCAGTAAATGAAACCTTCATCAGATGCTCAGAGCATTAAAAATTAATAAAATCAATTGAAAACTTCCAACAGTGGCAACAACTAAAATGGATAACACATATAACTCTCAGAGAAAGTAATGGGATAATGAAAATGTTGACTTTCCACACTGCATTAAACAAAAGGTTTGAAAGGAAACCCCCCATTAAGACTAGAAAGAATAATAGTGGACTTGAGGAACATATTTCAAGACTTTTTAATAAGTTTTAGTTTTGTTTTTTTGGGTTTTTTTCAGGCAATCTGTTGACCATTATTCTTGAGCAGTGACTTCAATTCTGCCTTATATTAATGACTACATTAATATGAAATGATTCTTGCGGGTAGGGGGATCAGTTTATTACTTACCAACAAAATAAAACTGATCCCCCACTTTATGTCCAACAGAATCTTATATTAACATTAGTTTACCCATGCCAGCAAAAATGTAAGCATATCTTGTTAAGTCTATTATTACAAGTTTTTCACATATGTTTTTTCTATTATAATATTCAGTTCAGTTATGTGCTATGCATGATACACGCTGAGGCGATCATGTATCTTTCGATACATGACTGACGAGGCAGATTTTTTTCTGCGGTAGACTAGTTGCCATCCAAGGCTTTAGAACCCGGTTTGTCCTGCTATTTACCCATAGCTTGGTGTGTGGGGGGGGGATGGGAATCAGTTTATTAGTTACTAGCAAAATAAAAGTGATCCCTCATTTTATGTCCAACAAAATCTTACATTAATTCTGGTTTACCCATGCCATAAAAATGACTATTTTATTAAGACATTATTATTATTATTATTATTAGAAGCTTTTCGCGTGTGAGCCTCATATAATTTTCAGTTATTCTTCTCATAAACTGATCTTTCACGAAGTCGGTCTGTTCACGGACCAGCTTCATAAACATTTTGGAAAAGTTCGTCATTGATACTGATCCGGCTCGACGTTGCTTAACTTCGGCGATCGGACGAGAACCGATGTTTCATTGTTATACGGCCTTAAGACTCTGATAAATATTAACTGATATGAAATATCCTTGAAATGAAGTGAATTGTATGTTGCACGTGACATAGGTTTTTGGGGTTGAATGGCACCAAAATTTAAATTGTGGTGATTTTGTTAATTCCGCCTGTTCCAATAACAATGGAATTTCGTTTTTCACCAAATATAAGACTCAAGAACCCCTCAAGGTAGATGGTTACTGAATGATTTTGTATGAGCGTAAGAGGTGGTAAGAAGTTCAGCTTGTGGCGTTATGCAGGAGGGGGTCACAGTTAACCCTAGACTTGAAAGATTAAGAATTTAGTGATCTAAAAATTTGCAATGCTCCATTTTTTTTTTAAGCAGATCTCGTTCTAGTAAAGATAGATCACAGAAGAAATAGTCAGATACTCACTGGAGCGGCAAGATACGATCATTTTTTAAGCATCTTTAGCGATGAGTCGTATATATGTTCCCGGGCTTACAACAGCACCCACCACCCGGATTCTTCCGAGAGGATTGGCAGAGGAGGAGAAGTGGGTTTTCCCCGTCGGGATGGATACTGCAGATGTAGTATCTGTTCCGTGCCGGAAGCCTTCTCTCCTCCTTTGCGTTCTTCCTTCTCCGTTGTTTGACATCTCTTACGTAGCGGTGGTATGACCAGCTATGACTAGTTTAGACAAGCTCTGACCAGCTTAAACCAGCAATCTCAGTGGAAAACTCTGGTCTCCACATTAAAAACCGACACCTTGTGTCACAACCTGGCTCGGTGTGGCGGTCAAGTAAATCTCGGGTCGTATATATGTTCTACTTGAGGTCTGGTGTAAGCTTGAGTTCCAATAGGCGTTCAAGTCAAAGACCTTTCTTGAAAGAACAACCGATCATCATGGTATGTGAAAGTCCAGGGTTTGCTCGAAGATGGTATTGCTGGTTTACTTTTGGAAGTACTGAATGTTACAAGTCAGTCCTTCTTCCCATTGGACCACCAGGACTAGGTTTTGGAAAGATAATCTACCAGATCCTTGTCATTTAGATTTTCGGAGTTTCACTTATATAATGTTGCATCATCTGACTTAATCTGTTGCGCTCGCTTTCGCACTAATGTCCTTTGAAAAGGCATGAATCCATCTTTTC